ACCTTCTCCCACCTGCCATTCCTCGCCTTCCCCGCCCCGCTCCCACTCAGTCCTCCAAATTCTGAGCCCCACCCCTGAGACCTACCTGCCCCCACGGCGGTGCCAGTGGTCCCCCCGCTGGCCTGAGGTTCTCCTGGGCCCTGGGCCGGGACCAAGACTCGGAAAGGGGACTTCCGGCGGGAGCGGCCAGCTCGAGTGCTGTCTAGTGCCGAGCCCCGAGCCCCGAGCCCCTCACCAAGTTGCTGCGCCCCGGAGGCGGCAGGGCTCTGGCCAAAGTGGCATCGCAGTCGTGCGGGGCCCGGCTCCGCGCATGGGGGAGCTCCGGGTCCGCCAGGCCGGCTCGGCAGAGCTCAGCCGGAGTCCCTCCGAGGCTTTTTTTCGGGAAGCACGCAGCCGCCGCCGCCTCCTCCGGGACATTGAGGGGCGCGCGGACGGCGCTCGGCCCGGCCGGCTGCAGGCGCAGCGGCCCCTGGCGGTCGAAGCAGAACGAGGAACCAAAGGATCTCTGGCCCCCGCGGTTCCTTAACGGTGAACATCTCCCGGGTGCAGGCCGGAGTCACTCAGAGAAGTCCCTCAAAACGCTCCAGGTTTGGGGGCTTCCGGGAGGTGGGGCGGGGGAGGGACTGAGTGTGAGGAGTGACTTCCCAGACCATCGGGGGTTTTAAGCTTTAAAGATTCCAGAACTGCAGTAATATGGTAGCCACTAACCACGTGTGGTTATTTAAATTTAAATAGAAATTAAATAAAATGTAAAGATTGGGTTTTTCATTCGCACTCACCACATTTCGAGTGCACAATAGCCATTTGTAGCTAGGGACCACTGTGCTGGTGGGAAAAATGAATAATATTCTCATTGCACAAAATTCTCTCTGACAAGCCTCTTCTAGATTGATATGTCAGCCTCTGCTGTTAAAAGGTTAAAATTCAGGCGGGAATAGCAAATGATCTCTACCCTAGGAGAGGTGTCCTCAGGGGCAGGAAGGACTAGCTAGGGGTAGAGGTAGAGCAGGCAGGAGGGCTACCATAGGCTGGTCCCTCCGGATGAGAGGTGTGAACCCCAATTTGGAAACTAAACTCTGAGACTCAATTTCTTCATCATCATAACAACTGCAGTATAATCGCAATTTTATAACTCTTTACAGGGCAAGATTTTGGATGTGAAAGCATTAGACAAATGGGAGGAGGCGGTCTGTGAATGTGTCTCTTTACAGGAGGGACAGCCCTCTTAGGTTAAGAGGGCTTTGGGGTTGGGGTAATGGGGAAGAGAGATGCAAGGGAAAGAAGCCCAGTTCTGAGCTCTGAGCCACAGCATGTGGCCGGGGATAAAGGGGCCTGTCTTAAGGATGCCCAACCCTTCTCCCTAGCTGAGGCCTTGCATCCCTGGTAGAGCCAGTCACTGAGAAGAGGCTCAGTTCCCAGCAGAGGAGAATAGTTCACAAGTCTGCTTCTTCCCACTTCACCCCCCACTTTCTCCTTCTCACTGTGCTGCCTCAGGGAGGAGTAGAGGTGATGGCCTTCTCGCCAAGTTCTGGGGCAGTCTGAGGACGGAGGAAATGTGATGATGCCAAGAGGAGGAAGTGAGAGGTTCAGGGAGAGGAGAGCTTTAGGATTTGGGTATGACCTGAGGGCTGTTCTGGAGCTCAAGAGAGCTGTTGACATCCCTGCGGACCATCTGATGTGTCTCTGGGGCATGACTCTGTGGCCTACTTGCAGCCACACCATGCTGGGTGCTGTGAAGAGCAGGGATTAGGGATCTGGGTGACAGAGAAGTGGTAAGCAAAGTGTCCCAGAAACACTGAATAATAAAAATAGCCAGGATGCTATATTTTTTCTCTTGTCTTTGGCTTGCCGCTGCTGTTTATGCCCATTGATCTGAGCGCTGGCTACAGTTTTTCTCAAACAGAAGGGAACTACCCATAGCAACAGCATGTTCTTTATCTGCCTGTCTGCCTGTGCCACTCTGTATCTTTGGACTGATTTTTTTTTTCTTGTGACTTCTTTTTCTCTGGCTCTCTCTGCCCAGAGTGCAGGCACAATTATAGCAAGTCTAAAAATGTGAATGACCATTATGAGATTTTTATCTGGAAGCTGCCAGGAAAGCCACTCCTTCTGGGGGCACAGTTTAGCCCAGGAACAGAGAAGGTTATGGTCAGGAAGCATCCTGCCCACAAAGCCCAGAGGTGGAGTCCCAACCATGAACAGAGGTGGAGTC